GGCTATAGAATCCCTAAGTTCTGATGCATCTCCTTTGCCAGTTGGAGGGGCTTTCCACCACTGCCTGAAGAAGTTAGCCCTCCTATGCCTATGCCTGAAGAATGTGTCATGGCCTCCCCTGAGGCACTTGCCTTGCTCATTCTCCTCAGGACCTGCCTCCATCTGGTTCTAGACTAGAACTAGACTCCAGTCCTAGCACGTCATGAAAGGTGAGGTATACTATACTCCAAAGTATGTCCTAGGAGAAGGTATACTGTACTCCAAAATAACTGCTTTTTTTTTTTTTTTTTTTTTTTTTGGACAGTTTCTTGCCCTGTTGCCCAGGCTGGAGTTCTGTGGTGTGATCTCAGCTCATTGCAACCTCTGCCTTCTGGGTTTAAGAGATTCTCTGCCTCAGCCTCCCAAGTAGCTGGGACAACAGGCATGTGCCACCACGCCCAGCTAATTTTTGTATTTTTAGTAGAGACGGGGTTTTACCTGTTGGTCAGGCTGGTCTCGAACTCCTGACCTCAGGTGATCCACCCGCCTCAGCCTCCCAAAGTGCTGGGATTACAGGGGTAAGCCACTGTGCCCAGCCAAAGAACTGCGTATTTTTTGCAATGTATGCTGAAAGAAACCTGGAGAATATCTGTGAGAATGACGTGAAGGAAGTGGGAGCATGTCATCCTGATTCACAAGTAAAACTAGGAGCTTATGTAGGGCAGGTGATCAATGGAGTTTTATCTCAGGTCCATCTTATATTGGGGCCCAATGAGTCTTTGAACTCATCCTGTGGTTACTTCCCCAGTCCTGAATGCAAAATTGGGACAGACATGCTCAGCAACTGGTAGAATCTCCATGGTGGATCCCTGACCTGTGAAGTGAGGGATGTGGATGAGAACAGGAGACAGGTGTGTGTGTATGTGCATTGGGGGAAGCACTGGGATGTGACCAAAGACCCAGAGAAGAAGAAACCCTGCATAAACCAGAAGGTGGGAAAGATTATTTTTTGGCATGTGATGAAATTTGGGTTGGATGCAGACTGTGGAATGCTTCCAGATCTAACCTAAAATGTTCAATATTTCATCTTTAACTTCTGGCTATTAGGGAGCATTAAAGTAACTAAATATGGTCTGAGAAGGACTCTGTACTTCTATATTTGAGTCCTCATGGATGAACTGCAACCTAACTTAACAGGCAGACAAGATCGAAAAATCTAACTTAAGAGTATGTGCCTGGCCGACGCAGTGGCTCGCGCCTGTAATCCCAGCACTTTGGGAGGCTGAGGCAGGCAGATCACCTGAGGTCAGGAGTTTGAGACCAGCCTGACCAACATGGTGAAACCCCGTCTCTATCAAGAATACAAAAATTAGCTGGGTGTGGTGGCGCCTGCCTGTAATCCCAGCTACCTGGGAGGCTGAGGCAGGAGAATCATTGGAACCTGGGAGGTAGAGGATACAGTGAGCCAAGATCATGCCACTGCACCCCACCCCGGGCAACAGAGCAAGACACTGTCTCTAAATTCTAACCTAAATTCTGTTCACATTGGCCACAATTGCTGTCAAAGCAGAGGCTTGAAGACTTGAATAACACAATGAGTTAACAGGTAAGGGCAGCTGTTTGGAATCATTTATTTTTGCTTTGATATCCAGACACTTAGCTGGACCTCAAGGGATTTTTTTTTTTTTTCTTTTTCTTTTTAGACAGGGTCTTGTTCTGTTGCCCAGGCTGGAGTGCAGTGGGGTACATGTCGTCAGGACCTCCTGAGCTGTCATAAAAAAAAAAAAAAATTTATATATATATATACACACACATACACACACACACACACACAGAGCCTATAATCCTAGCACTTTGGGAGGCTGAGGCGGGCACTCTCCCCGCTATGGATATGACCTTATTTGGAAAAATGGTCTTTGCAGATTAATGCAAGAAAAAGATGGAGAGTTTTTGCCCTTGCACCAGGCTGCCTGCTGATCTCTGCATAGAGCTTTGCATATATACAGTATACTGTATATATATTTTATATATATGTGTGTATATATGTGTGTATATATAATACACACACCTGTATGTGCATATATGTGTATATACACACCTGTATATACATATACATACACACTTGAATATACATATATGTAGAGATCAGCTGTGTATATATATAATATATATACACACACACAGGTGTGTAAGTGTACCTATATACAGGTGTGTATATATATTCATAGTTACGGGTGTTAGGACTTGGACATATCTTTTGGGTAGGCGTGTATATATATACATGCCTGGATTAATAGGTAAAAAACAGGAGTATGGATAACTTCATTATTGAGCATTGACTATTAGCTACCATTTAATACGTACCCTTCATTTAATACATAGCCAATAACAACTTCGCCAGGTAGGTGTTACTATCCTCATTTTACAGAGATGGTAATTATAATGGGTTGAATTGCAGCCTCCCCAAAAGATATGTCCAAGTCCTAACACCCCTAACTGTGGATATGATCTTATTTGGAAAAAGGGTCTTTGCAGATTAAGTTTAATTCAGGGAAGAATCCTAAGATTAGATCATCCTGGATGAGGGTGGGCCCTAAATCCAGAATAATGTGTCTTTGTAAAAGAAAAGAAGGGAAGAAGAGACACAGGAAGGCCATGTGAAGACTGAGGCAGAGATGAGTGTGCTGCCACAAACCAAAGAATGCTGGATCCACCAGAACCTGGAAGATTCTCCTCTACAGTTTTGGAGGGAATGTGGCCTTACAGACAGACACCTTGGTTTCACACTTCTGGTCTCCAGAACCGAGAGAATCAATTTCTGTTGTGTTAAGTCCTTAAATTTGTGGTGATTTGTTAAGGCATCCCTAGGAAACAAATACAGTAAGTATAGGGGGTCCTGACTTCAGGGACAGAGTAGGTAAGTTCCTACCTAGGTTTAAGTATCAAGGAATGGAGGAGGGAGGAGAGGTGAGGTAAGTGAAAGAGAGACAAGGAGAGCGGCAAGTCGGGACCACCCTTCCCTGACTTGAGACAGGGTCAGGATCACCCTACATTTCTTCTCTTCCCTCACCCTCCTCCAGCACTGCAAAGATGAGCCTTTGTTACCCTGGGGAGCCTGTGTTGGCTCTCCTGTGTTTTAGGCAAGAAAAAGATGGAGAGTTTTTGTCTTTGCACCAGGCTGCCTGCTGATCTCTGCATAGAGCTTTGTCATTTACCGTGCAGTTTCATGCTCACAATCACTTTCAACCCTGAAAAGAACCCATCTTACTGATGAGAAAGGTGAAGCACAGAAGCACTTGCTCAAACTTACATGTGTCAAGCTGGTGTCAATCGAAGACTCCAAATTCCATTTTATTACCATTGCACCATACAGCTGTGGAAGAATAATTCTTCCGTAACAGTTAAAACAAAACCAAAACCATTTTGTGGAGTTTGTTCATGAGCACCAAAAATCATTGGAGAGTGTGTGCACTCAGCTCACGCAAAGTTGTGTGTATTATCTCCGTTGTGGGGTAAACTTTGGTACAAGGATTCAGCCTTCCTTAGTCATCTTGGTTTGAGGAATAAAAGGAAAATAAGAGTTTTGCCTGAACATACGGTGTTAAATATGCCAATATAATCTTTGGAGTTTTGCACTAAATATATATAGTTTTTGGAAGCAAGGACTTTGGGCAGCTTTCGGTAGTTGTGTTTTCCGTGTTTTTCTAAACTAGCCAACCCATACAGAGGTTTAATTTTGAGAAACCAAGCTCCTAACACGTCTTTATTCATAATCTGTTTCTTTGTTTGTTTGTTTCGTTTTTGTTTTTTGAGACGGAGTCTCGCTCTGTCTCCCAGGCTGGAGTGCAGTGGCACGATTTCTGCTCACTGCAACCTCGGCCTCCCAGGTTCAAGTGATTCTCCTGCCTCATCCTCTTGAGTAGCTGGGACTACAGGCGTGCGACACCACGCGGGGATAATTTTTTTTGTATTTTTAGTAGAGATGGGGGTTTCGCCATGTTGGCCAGGCTGGTCTTGAACTCCTGACCTCAGGTGATCTGCCCACCTCACCTCCCAGAGTGCTGGGATTACAGGCGTGATCCATCGCGCCCGGTCCATAACCTGGTTTTAATCATCAGGTTATAATTTTTTCCGTTCTTAGTGCTGGAGGGGGCTTGTGACAGCTACCTGGCAGTAAGTACATAAGGCAGACATCTACATTATTTACAGAGGGGCTTCTCACTTTCTTGGCTCCCCACTTCCTCCACACCCTGGGCAGGGACCATTTTCTCTGCAATATTTGCTATCAACGCTGTTTCAATTCAGTTTGCTGGCCCTCCCAGTTTTTCCAGCTTGAAACAACACCTGAAAAGTACCTGTAAGATATTTTGGTCGAATTCAGCGGCAATCTGGAAAATCCCTTCTCAAAATCTCTTCTGCTCATTCTTAAAAATAGTTCAGGTCTCTAAGAGAACTGCAATGGAGTAAATGACATACAGGATTTTGCCCTTCGTTGCTCTGATAAGGGCTGGCGCGGTAGAAGCGCGGAGCCTGAATACCCAGGAGACACGTGTCAGCTTGGTGAATGAAGGCTTGCGCCGGCCTGGCATTTCTGCTACCTCTAAGCGCGGAGAGTATTAGCTGAATGGTAGGGGAAGGTGTGGTTGGAATCTTCTCCAGGAAGGGAATGACAGGTTTCTGTGCTAGGGAGATGGCGGCTCAATGGGTTAGGCGACGCGTGGACAGAGCTTCCTAGTCTCGGGATAAGCAAGATTGAGCCCCACAGCTGTAGGCCATGAGGGGAAGGAGGTGTGGGAGCCTGAAGCGGCGTACACGGCTACCTGGTGCGCTCTGCATTTTCCTGTCCTTGGAAGCCCTTCCCAAGAGTTCGTTTTACACCCACACAAACAAGACCTCAAGCGTCCCAGAAACGTCAGTAGTTCGTTCTGCGGGTGAAGAAAATATTAACATTTTTCAGATGAAAACTCTCCTCCTGAAAGGACCTTTGCTGAGTGCTGGGGGAGGCGGGGCGCGGGGAAGAACTGAGACCGCCCAGGAGGCTGCGGCGCTCCTGGGCTAAGTCCTGCCAGGGAGCTCCCCCGTTGGGTGACGGAGGAGGTGGGGCGAGGGCAGCGCGCAGAAATAGGGCTCTGGACACCTGAGTGCAGCCAGCCTCCAGCACAGCCCGCGGCCCGGTGCGAGCTCCGCCCGCTGCCGGTGTGCCAAAGTGCGGTGCTCCCGCAGGGAACCTGGCTCGGGAAGGGCCTCTGTGAGTCATCTGCTGAGTTGTCGCAATCACCACCCAGAGGAAATCAGGCACCGGGCGGGGCGCGTTCCCGGCTGCGTTCGCGCGCTCTGCCGCGCGGCGGTGTCCCTCCGCTTACCCGCAGCTGCGACCACTGGCTCGCGCTACCCAGGTCTGCGCACGCCGCGGTGGCTTCAGCCCAGACCTGGGCCGCCGGCGGAGAAGGAGTTAACTGACAGGGGCTAGGAGGAGCCCGGGGAGGAAGGAAGGATATTGCCGTAATTCTGAAAGTTTTTTTCCTTCCTCTCTTCCCCTCGCAGAGGTGAGTGCCGGGCTCGGCGCTCTGCTCCTGGAGCTCCCGCGGGACCGCCTGGGGACAGGGACTGCTGTGGCGCTCGGCCCTCCACTGCGGACCTCTCCTGAGTGGGTGCGCCGAGTCATGGAGGGCGCAGAGCTGGCCGGGAAGATCCTTTCCACCTGGCTGACACTGGTTCTCGGCTTCATCCTTCTGCCTTCGGTCTTCGGAGTGTCTCTGGGCATCTCCGAGATCTACATGAAGATCCTGGTGAAAACTTTAGAGGTGAGTGCCAGGAGGGATGCAGCCAGCCCCACGCCGCTGCGGGCTCAGAACCCTGGGGTCCAGCTCTCAAGGTCAGTGGTCGCAGGTCAGGCGTGTGTGTGCGCGCGTGTGCATGCGTGCGTGCATTTCTGTTCCTTGCCCGCGGCAGTGCGAAAGTCAGCATCTCGGCTTCTTTCGCGAACCTGGAGGGATCTGGGCTGAAACCACTGGACCACTCTATTGTTCCTCTGGTCGGAAGCAAAAATCACTCCATTCCCTGAGCATCGTTATTATTTTACAGATTATAATAACAATGCGACCAACTTTTTGTATCAGAGGATTTGCTTATATCCATTATGCAGTGCAGTTTCCGCTTCACCCGCTTGTTTTTACAGCCCCAGGTTTCAGAGGTCCTTTTGTGTACTCAGGCATCCTGTTCAGAAAGGCATCATGTTCTTCTTTATGCCCAAGCATCATGTTCTTCTTTATGCCCAAGATAAGAGACCAATTCCTGGATGGCAGAAAGAAATTGTATTTTATTTTAGTGGAGTCATGGAAATTTTATCTAACTAACAGCACTTGAAATGCCATTGAAAAGGTATATATTCTTTGACCTCAGGTCTCCCTACCCTCCTGTTTCCAAATTCTGCAAAGAAAAATGTTAGATGGAAGTGGGCCTGGTAGAGAACAACTGCAGCTTACTCTTAGGGTTTTATTAAGTGTCAAAAGGCTGGGTAGGGTAGAGAGGGCAAGTGCTATCCCCCTTTTACAGAGAGGGAAACTGAGAGTCAGAGATCAGTGGTTTGTTTGAATTAACTGTTAGAAGCAGGAGTCTTTTTTTAAAAAAAAATTGTATGTATATAATTTATATCTACTTGTTTCAAAAAATATATATTTATATATTATATATACTTTTTTTATATATATATAAGAGACAGCGTCTTGCTGTCTTGGCCAGGCTGGTCTTGATCTCCTGGCCTCAAGCAATCTTCCTGCCTTTGCCTCCCAAAGTGCTAGGATTACAGGTGTGAGCCCCACGCCTGGCCAGAAACAGGAGTCTTAACTGAGAAGAGGCCCTACAGCCTAGTGGTTAGGAGTAGAGATCCTGGATACAGGTTTGCTTAGATTTGGTACCAAAATTGTAGCTCTGTTTCTCAAAATGTGACCTTAAGGAGGTCATCTACTCTTGTGCCTCATTTTCTTTATCTATAAAATAGGAGTAACAATAACTCCTATTTCCACAGTGTTATTCAAATAAGTTAAAATGTATCAAGCACCTTAGAAGGCTGCCTGCATCTACTATATGAATGTTTGTTGCTATTAAAAGAATAATATGATTACTGAGATTCTAGCATTCCGCAGTGCCTTCTTATAAGTTTGGTTCCCATTTTTGTGACCTTGTTTTCTCTCTGCCCTCAGGACGTGGCTTTATCTGCTCTTCTTCCTCAGCTAATTGGGTGGCTCCCAGGTATACTTCTCTAACCCACTGGACACTGTCTTGTACCTGCTAGCCTCCTATATTGCCCTAGACTCTTGTTTGTGGCTATTTCTTTGCCTAGTCTTTGAAGTTGTATGTGATTCTTCATTCTCAGTGCTCATGCTTTTAAAGTTCTATTGTTTCTACTTGGGAGCTATTTCTCACTTTTGAACTCTTATTGACTTTACATTCTGAGCTTGGTCACATTATGCTGTGAATTTCTTAGCTGCCTCCTACTGTTAGACCTTCTTAAGAATCCTCTCCCATAGCAGATGATCCTCTTCAGCTGGTGTTCCGTCTTTCTCTGAACTCTGAAATGATTGAACTGTTCTCCCATACAGCAATGTCTTTTGGAATTTATACCCTGTTTAAGAATGGTTTAAGGTAAATCATACCCACTGGCTTCCAGGGGCTCACTCCTGTTTTTCTTTAGTGACTCAAGGTACAGCTAAGGGCAGAGGCCAGCTAGTTGCTGTCAACCTGGCAAATTATTGCGCCTGATAGGATGATCTCCAGTCCAGGATCTGACTTTCAGTTTGACAGGGCCACAGATTTTAATTTTTGTCCTTCTGCACAACTCCAGAGCTGAACTCCTTGTCAATCAAACTGTCAAGAATGCCAGTTTTCTAATTCTGGTGGGAGAAACTATATAGCTTGGAAACTAGGTAGGTGACACATAAGGAACCCACCCTGTCTGCTGAGACTAAGTTATTAGGTCAAAGAGATGCTTGATGTATGTGGAATTTGAATACAGATTCATTGTGTGAGCCAGCTCTGATTTGTTGGCTGTGACTGCCTGGAACTCCTGTGGGAGCATCTGAGCTCATCAGGAAGGAGAGCTGTGATCCCATAGTGATTTCTGCTTTAGGTGCAGGAGGACAGTAACCCAGGATCTTCTATCCTTCAACTAGAACAGTGTTAGATATTTCAAAGACATTTCTGTTAGACTGGGGTTAATATGGTGGACTGCTTTTCTCAACTATAGGAATAATTCCTTAAGGGATTATGTTGATGTTTAGCATGAGAAAATCTTCAGTGCTGGACAAATACACTGCCTTTTTGTAGATTGCATTCAAGGCCCAGCCGTTGTATCACTCCGTGGCAAATTCTTAATTGATTTAGTTGTTTCTTTCTTTACATTTCATTCCCAAGAATATTCTTTGAGCTCTGATCATAATTGGATGTTTCTCAAGTTTCCTTGCTTATAATTTATGTACCATTTAAAAAGATCATTTAGTTTTGTCTATTATACGTTTACTTTGACAAGTTTTACTGTCAATGGGTTTCTTTCTCATGACCATAAATGCAAATTCTAGAAGTTGAAATGTGTGTAGGGTACCTTCTAAATTGCTGATTTTGATAATTGTTACTTGTTAACTCACTGAGCTTTATGCTCTTCTCTGACCCCTTCTTAACCCACTGGTTCAAGTAATAATCATTTATTGAGCACCTACTTCTACTTTCTTCTGCATTGCTGGGTATCTCTAGATGTATGCATAAGTCACTGATATGACAAGATACTTGAGGATAAGCCTTGAATACTTAGAATAAGTTTAGTGATTCTCCAAGTCAGTGATTTTCAAGGGATATATGATAATTTGTTGGATATGTATGTTAATATTACAGCTTTATATTTGAGGAAATTGTTTTAGGAATACAAATTATGAAAAGTAAAACTTGGCCAGGTGTGGTGGCTCATGTCTGTAATCCCAGCACTTTGGGAAGCCGAGGCGGGCGGATCACTTGAGATCAGGAATTTGAGACCAGCCTGGCCAACATGGTGAAACCCTATCTCTACTAAAAATACAAAAATTAGCCAAGCATGGTGGTGTGCACCTGTAATCCCAGCTGCTCAGGAGGCTGAGGCAGGAGAATCACTTGAATCTGGGAGGCACAGGCTATAGTGAGCCAAGATCGCGCCACTACACTCCAGCCTGGGTGACAGAGCAACACTCCATCTACAAAAAAAAAAAAAAAAAAAAAAAAATCAGACTTAAAGCCATTTCTTTTGGTGAATTTTGGATAGCTACCTTTTTCCCTCCAAGAGGATTTGGAAATTAGGTGGAAAGATAACTTCATTGATAAGTATCTTTCAACTTTCCTGGGGAGGCAGAAACTCTGGGTTGTTAGAAGCCACTTTTGTACTTTAGGACCATTTTGCTGACAGAGCTGCCTCTTTTGTGATGCCTTGAGGCAGATATGTTCTGATATACCCCTGTAAGAGATTCAGAACGTCTGGAAGAGATATTCTGTCTTTGTATTTGGGTTGATCTGATTGGCTAGAAAAGCTAGCATAGTAAAAGAGAAATAACTATTTTTGGGGAGAAGCACTGGACAGTCTGGAAAAAAGTGGCCATTTCAGAGGCCTGAAATGTGGAATATAGGGAGGAGGAGGCTACTTTGTGGCCTGCTGTGTGGTAGGCAGGAGCTACATTATCTCCTTTAGCCTTTACAGCTACCCTTGGTATTGCCCCTGTTTTATTTTTATTTTATTTCTTTTTGTGAGACAGAGCCTTGCTCTGTCACCCAGGCTGGATGGAGTGCAGCGGCACAATCTCGGCTCACTGCAACCTCCCCCTCCCGGATTCAAGCGATTCTCCTGCCTCAGCCTCCTAAGTGGCTGGGATTACAGGCGTGAGCCACCATGCCTGGCTAATTTTTGTATTTTCAATAGAGACGGGATTTCACTATGTTGACCAGGCTGGTCTCCAACTCTTGTCCTCAAGTGATCTGCCCGCCTTGGCCTCCCAAAGTGCTGGAATTACAGGCATGAGCCACCCCGCCTGGCCTTGTCCCTGTTTTAGAGATGATGGAATGGATGCCCCAAGACGTTAAAGTCTCTTGTGTGAGATGATTACAGCCAGGAAGTGGCAGAACTGCAATTCAAATGTATATCTATCTAGCTGCAAGGCACAGGTATGTTTTTACTTTCAGTGGCGGGTCATCCTACAGAAGAAAAGGGTTTTCTAGTACAAATTCCCTTAGGCACTAAATGTCTGCTTCTTCAACCTTAACATTTGCATATCCTTTTTTTTTTTTTTTTTTTTTTTAGGCAGGGTCTCCCTGTCACCCAGCCTGCAGTGCAGCGGCATGATCACAGCTCACTGTAGCCTTGACCTCCTCAAGCAGTCCTCCTGAGTGGTTGGGACCACAGACGTGTACCACCATGCCCAACTAATGTAAAACTTTTTTTTTTTTTGGAGAGACAAGGTTTCACCCTGATGCCCAGATTGGTTCGAACTCCTGGACTCAAGCGATTTTCCTGCCTTGGCCTCCCAAAGTATTGTGATTATAGGCATGAGCCACAGTGTCTGGCCTAAAATGTGCTTATCTTAACACAGTAATTGTGTTATGCAGGTAGACCTTTAGAGCTATCGTTTCAGGAGACAGAATGCATTCTGTAACTTGTCTGGTGCCAAAACATGGAGTGCTTTTGAGCAGATCATGCTTTTTGAGGAATGTCACTGTATTAGTTTGCTAGAGCTGCCATAACAAAGTGCCACAGACTGGTGGCCTAAACAACAGAAATTTATTTTCTCAGTTTTGGAAGCTAGAGGTTCAAGATCGAGGTGTCAACAGGTTTAGCCTCATTCTGAGGCCTCTCTCCTAGGCTTGCATGTGACTACCTTCTAGCAAGAAGGTGTGGTATCCTCACATGGCCTTTTCTGTGCTCACATCCTTGTGTCTATTTGCGTGTCCAAGTTTTCTCTTCTTACAAGGACATTGGTCAGATTGGATTAGGGCCCACCCTGAGGGCTTCTTTTTAACGTAGTCACCCTTTGAAGACCCTATCTGTAAATATAGTCACATTCTGAGGTACTAGGGGTTAGAGCTTCAACATATGAATTTTAGAGGGACATAATTCAGCCCATTAACAGGAACAGAATACCAGCATTTTCCATCATATGAGCATGGAATAATAGTTCTAGTCTGAGGTAACTACTATTTGTATAAAATATAAAATCACTCGCCCACAATGAAAAAAAATGAGTCTGACATGAACAATGATTGACTGTTTACAACATTTTATTTTAATTATATCTTTGGTTTACTTACAAATGATAATAGGCCCTGAAGCTTTAAGTGAAAAACTATGGAAACAGTTACTTCAGTTGAGAAAAGCTGAGTGGTATTAGTCCAGAGTTTGAGAACTCGTGCGCTAAATCCGCAAAAGATAACAGGATGAGTCTTATGATTTAGTCACTTGTCACTGGAAGCTGAGAAGACTGGCCTCTATTTATAGGCTGTTTTCTAAGTGCAAATGGCATGTTCTTGTTTGGCTCTGTGGGTTGTTTTGAAGGGTCCTGACGTAGTCAGATATCATGCATTATTCCCTGACCTTCATGTACGTTTTAGGTTATTCTCTATCAGTTACGTTCTTATTTGAAAAAGTTTTTAACCTCTCGTCAACAAACTCTTTTGAGCCTAGCAATAACTGAGGTTTTTGACTTGGTCTATTAATAAATCTGTCTCTGGGCTGGGTGCAGTGGGTCACACCTATAATCCCAGCACTTTGGGAGGCTGAGGCATTTGGATCGCCTGAGGTCAGGCGTTTGAGACCACACTGGCCAACTTAGTGGAACCCCCATCTTTACTAAAAATACAAAAATTAGCTGGGCTTGGTGGTGGGTGCCTGTAGTCCCAGCTACTTGGGAGGCCGAGGCAGGAGAATCACTTGAACCCAGGAGGCGGAGATTGCAGTGAGCCGAGATCATGCCATTGGACTCCAGCCTGGGCAACAAGAGCGAAACTCCTTCTCAAAAAATAAAATAAAATAAAATAAATAAAATAAAATAAAATAAAATAAAATAAAATAAAATAAAATAAAAATCAAATCTCACGCCTGTAATCCCAGCACTTTGGGAGGCTGAAGCCAGTAGATTGCTTGAGCTCAGGAGTTCAAGTACAGTCTGGTTGACAAGGTGAAACCCGGTTTTTACAAAAAATCTAAAAATTAGCTGGGAGTGGTGATGCGGGCCTGTGGTTCCAGCTACTCAGGAGACTGAGGTGGGAGGATTGCTTGAGCCCAGGAGGTCAAGGCTGCAGCAAGCCCCTGTCTCAAAAACAAAAAAAATCGTCTCTGCCCCTTCAAGGGTACTTATATTCAATTATAATTATTACAATACTTTTTAGTGTAAGAGCCCTGGGGATTCTCTAGAATGAGAGACTTGAAAAGTTCACTAGCAGTTTTTGAACTATGATGTTAATAGTGAATAATTTGGGAAGTGTGTAAAAAATGTATAAAGAAAAAAAAAATCACATCCAGGTAGATTTTTTTATTTGCTAGGTACCTTCAAAACAACACAAGAGTTGTTTTCCAGTTCTTAAATTCCCTAAAATCTGTAGATCTTCATAATTATAACATTTTCCTATGCATCTTCATAAGTAACCATGTGGACAGACGATTTTCTGTAGTTAATGATTTCTTTTTCTTTTCTTTTTTTTTTTTTTTTTTTTGAGGGAGTCTCACTCTGTTGCCTAGGCTGGAGTGCAGGGGCCTGATCTCTGCTCACTGCAGCCTCTTCCTCCCTGGTTCAAGCAGTTCTGCTTCAGCCTCCACAGTAGCTCCAGCATGCGTCACCATGCCTGGCTAATTTTTGTATTTTTAGTAGAGATGGGGTTTCGCCATGTTGGCCAGGCTAGTCTTGAACTCCTGACCTCAAATGATCCACCCTCCTCGGCCTCCCAAAGTGCTGGGATTACAGGCGTGAGCCAATTGTGCCTTGGTTAATGATTTCATCGAGTCCTTTCCAGCTTTCCAAGTCTGTGCTGCCTCTTTCTGCAAGCTTATTTCTGATGCATCTTTGAGTGTGTCCTATCCCTGAATGTCGAATTTGTTGTGAAAATACTTATACTTTATGCCCTACGTTTTAGGCCCTTATATGTGTCATCTTGTTTAATGTGACAGCAACCCTATGGGATAGGATCTATTATCCTTATTTTACAATGAGGAAACAGAGGCCTATAGGAAGTAAGTAATTTTAAACCCAGACATTCTTGATGCCATGACCTGTACTCATGCCCCCCATGCTTCACAGCCTTCTCAGTGAGTAATTTATCAGGACACCCATGCATGTGAGGTGGTTGAGAAAGGGTAAATATTGTCCTTTCCACATTTTATTAGGGCATTATCAGTAACTGATATAAAAGTATACTTGGGACTTGGAATACTGCTACATCAGAGATTGACTGGGGTTATCTCTTTAGTTCAGATACTGTCACAGCTTGATGTGTAATTTCACTTGTGTATAATATGGTTGAAGTATTTTATGTTGTGTCTGTGGGACAGTTTAAATTAGTATTTCTTGTTTTTGAACAGTGGGCCACAATACGAATTGAAAAAGGAACCCCAAAGGAGTCGATTCTTAAAAACTCTGCTTCTGTTGGTAAGTTTTCCTTTTCATTATGATTGTTACCATATTCAAATTGCGTAGATGTAAACCTACCCAATTTGAACTTGAAATATGCAGAGAGCAGTATGTTCTATAGGCTTTGGATCTTTCATAATTCTGTCAGTGTAAAATAGCAGCTGCCTGAGTTTTCATGGACTTTTTATTGTAAAGGTGGTAATATGTGTTAGCTCATCTATGTGTTCTTATAGGTATTGTTTTCCTTTCTAAGGGCATGCATTTGAAGATGGCTGTCCATGGTTTTAAAGATGTAGTCAATGGCCAAAAGAAAAAAGAAAAAGAAAAAGAAAAAGGCTAATGGGAGTTCCTGCAAGTTAAAACTTATTATTGAGGTTTCATTAACCAACTTGTGATTCTCAAAGTATGTTGCTCAAAATACTCTTTTCTGCTGAAGGCTGATTGGTAATATATGAAATAAAAAATAATTTTCTTGTGAAATAAGCTTAGGAATCATCACATACTACACTTTCCTTTTGGAGAGTCTATTGCATACTAATAAAGGCTCAGAAGAGTCCTGCAATAAAGAAACATGCTTGACCAGGTGCAGTGGCTCACGCCTGTAATCCCAGCACTGTGGGAGGCTGAGGCGGGCAGATTGCTTGGGCTCAGGAGTTCAAGACCAGCCTGTGCACATGGTGAAACCCCGTCTCAACAAAAAATACAAAAATTAGCTGAGTGTGGTGGTGTGCACCTGTAGTCCCAGCTACTAGGAGCGGGGCTGAGGTGGGAGGATTGCTTGAACCGTGCAATTTGAGGCTGTAGTGAGCCGTGATCACACCACTGCACTCTGGCCTGGGCAATACAGTGAGACCTCATTTGGAAAAAAAAAAAAAAGTCAAACTATCAAATACTTTGTTGGAAGGAATTTATCTTCTGGAAGCTTTTCTAAAAGGAATTGTAGAAATTGTATTCTATAACGAGTTTTGGAAATAGCAAAATATTTGACTGAAAACATTGGAGTATTTTTGTATAATCGGATTATGATTTTCAAATGATTGAAGCAACTAGTAGAGCTTCATTGTGTATACTTAAACACCAAAATATTATCACCAATAACATTTTTACCAAGTCTGGATATTTCTGGCTATATTTTATCGTTTTTTTATTGCCAGATACCTTCTCTGAGATATAACAGATCTATAATTTTAAAAAATTATTCTGAGTTCCTTTAAAAATGTATGTCCTTATGATTTAAGGAAAGAACAAACTTTCTTGCTGGTTTTCTGTTGTGCTTGGTGAGACTGAGCTGTTGATCTTGAGTGAAAATCAGTGAGCCTTAATATATTGGGGTGATTGCGGTACATGTTTTGGGCCATGAATTTTAATTTAATTTAATTTTCTTATTTACATTAAATTAATTAAATTTTCTGCTTTTGAGACAAAGTCTTACTCTGTCCCCGACGCTGGAGTGCGGTGGCGAGATCTTGGCTCACTGTAACCTCTGCCTCCCAGGTTCAAGTGATTTTCCTGCCTCAGCCTCCTGAGTAGCTGGGACTACAGGCGTGTGCCACCATGCCCAGCTAATTTTTGTATTTTTAGTAGAGATGGGGTTTTACCATGTTGGCCAGGCTGGTCTCAAACTCCTGACCTCAAGCGATCCTCCCACCTCGGCCTCTCAAAGTGCTGGGATTACAGGGCATCAGCCATTGCACCTGGCCAGGTCATGAGTTTTAAAGGACACAAAGTATTTCAATTTGGCAGGTGATGGGATTAAAAAATCAGTAGATGAGAGGGTCCAGTAGCATGGGTTTAGTTTTTTTTTTTTTTTTTTTGCCTATGCAGAAATGAGAACTTTTTGAATATTTACACTTACTGGATTACTATTTTTATTGCAATCTTTGTCAAACATCTGCTTTTTCTGTTTTTGATCTTTGTCTTTTCCGTGGTATCTCCAGGAAAGAATGGAAGTGAACAGGAGGAGAAAATATAAATCATAATATTTTAGAGTAATGCTGATGCCTGCAAAATTTGTCGTATTTTATTCAGAGTGTCTGCCCTTCCTTGTAGCCTGTGAAATTGGAAATTGACTCTCATAGTTATTGAACAACTGCAACATGTAGGGTTGACAAAGGATCCAAAGTTGATTAAGACATGGTCCCTGTGGGGAGATAGGCATTTCACAGACCACTGTGATAAATACTGAAATAGGTGCATAAGCAAAGGACAGTGTGAGATCTCATTTCGGCTCTGATATGTACTGCTTTCGTCTCTGCTAATCCCACAACTGTGCATGGTATGCAACTGTGCTCCCCTCCTGACTTGGTGCTTGGGTATCCAGGGGTACTTAGTACCAGGGGTATTAAGTAAGGGGTGTGTGCCCTGTTGATACATACTAGTGTTTGGAGTCATCTGAGAAGTAGTGTCATAATCCTAGACAGGCTGATAGAGGGTGATGATGAAACATTGAGTACTTGTGTGCTTGGCTGGTGCAGTTTTTGGCTTTGAGAGCACCACGTCTCTGTATCAAAGTTTAGGCAAGGGTCACAGGCAGGCCAAGGACCCCAGGAGTGTGGGTACAATTTTGAGATGTGTCTGAATGATATAGTCCTGAAAATAGATTTTGAGGAGCTGAGAGGGAGAGTTATGCTTATTTTCTGCACTGAAAAACTTCCTTCTGCTGCTCTTTCATTTAGTGAAACACACTTTTTTTTTTTGAAATGCATTTCAAGTCTCCCCAGTTAAATCCCTCTTGCATTGTATTTCTTCTGTGCTTTTATTGAATAAGCCAATTGAAAGGTGAGCCTAGGCAAATTGTTAACTGTGGTTAAATAATTCTCTTCTGTCTTTGGTCATATTCTGCTGTGTCTTTTATTTAAAAGCTATTTAATTTGTTGAGCTTCAGATATGATTATGGGTAAATCTTGTTAAGAAGTTATGTTATTGCACTTTCACCTTCCTCTTCTTCTTCTTCCTTTTTTTTTTTTTTTTTTTTTTTTTTGAGATGGGGTCTGGCTGTATTGTGCCAAATTCCTGGCCTCAAGCAGTCCTCCTGCCTCAGCCTCCCAAAGTGCTGGGATTACAGCCATGAGCCATAGTGCTAGGCCATACCTTACTCTTCTAAGCTTAAGGACTTTTCCTCATTGTTAAACACAAAAAAGGGTAAATCTTTTTCCCCACTTCAAGTAACTATTTTATTCTGAGCATTAAACTTCAGTGGAGAATATAGTTACCCTTCTAGCCTAGTTTTGTCCCCTGAAAGCAGAAGTGCTAGAGCCACAGCATAGAAGGCTAGAACAAGAAAATACAAGAATAATGGCTTGTTTGCTTCTTTTTATCAGCTGTGCTTTTGTTGCTCCAGCCACAGGACAAATGCATCTCCTTGGACCCTGGGACTTGGTCTGACTGAGATCTTAGCAACTTTTATTTTAGCCTGTTTTAAGTATACAAAGGATCGTTTGACTTTTAAGAGGCACCAGCCTTACTCTTTGGGCATCTGATTTTCAGGGATTATGATGCTGTTAGGTTTGAATTTGAATTTGGTTCATAGCTTTGATAGTAATTGTGATTAATATTAGTAATTATGTAATTTTAGTGACTCAAGATGAATTCTACTCTAATTGCATTATGACACTAGGACATTTTGAATGATTACCATGAAAAGTCACCAAGCATGAATAAAGGCCTGCATTTACCTGGGAGTGAGTCATAAACACCACAAATACATAGAGGCGGTAGCTTGTCCTTTGGCATTGTTCCCTTAGAGGGTGATGCTGGCGTGACTCAGCATTGTTGGCCACAAAGTGCACGCAACCACTGCAAGTCCTACACCATCCCCTGCTCCAGCAGCACCGCACACGAAGACTGTGGTCGCATGGCCTGCTGTTGATTTAGCCCCCGTGCTGAATTTCTCTCTGCCTTGTATCTCATGCCCCCAAGTCTCTTTTGCCCACCTAAACACTCAAAAAGGAGAAGGTACTAAGGTGGAACTTCTGTTGTTATACCTATTCAGAGAGAATTCAGGTTGCCTAACATGGCCCTCTAATTTTACTTTGGGAATTTTTTTCTGTGAGGCAATTGACTACATGAAATCCTGTATACATTGGTTATATGAACATTAATAAAATCTTATACATTCACGGAAAAATATAGGATCATATTTTGTGACAGAAGTTTGAGAAATATGAAGTCAGGTGGGGTCATGCATGCCTATAGTCCCAGACACTTGGGAGGCTGAAGGGGGAGGATCTGGAGTTTGAGGGTAGCCAGGGCAAAATAGTGAGACCCATCTAAAAAAAAAAGAAAGAAATTTGAGGAATATTTTTATACACTTATTTTGTTTTGGGCAGGCTGTTTTTGATAGTCTAAATTAGCTAACTTAATTAATGGTGTACACTCTGTGAATACAAACCAGTATGTGTGCCCTCAAGAATATGAAGTATAATGCATCTAATGGGGTTATTTTATTGATACAATACAGGAAGTTGTCATATATATATATGTATATGAAACATGTATTTGTGTGTGAAATATATAAACTTGTCTCATATATATGAAACATTATGTATTAGTATGTAAAATATGTATTATTAATACATAATATATATTATTATTTTTAAGACAGTGTCTCACTCTATTGCCCAGGCTAGAGTGCAGTGGTGCAATCTTGGCTCACTGCAACCTCTGCCTCCCGGGTTCCAGCAATTCTCCTGCCTCAGCCTCCTGAGTAGCTGGAATTACAGGGGTGCGCCACCACACCTGGCTAATTTTTGTATATATTTATTATTATTATTATTATTATTTTTTGAGATGGAGTCTGGCTCTGTTGCCCAAGCTGGAGTGCAATGGTGTGATTTCGGCTCACTGCAACCTCTGCCTCCCGGGTTTGAGAGATTTTCCCACCTCAGTCTCCTAAGTATCTGGGATTACAGGCATGCACCACCACGCCTGGCTAATTTTTACATTTTTAGTAGAGATGGGGTTTCACCATGTTGGCCAGGATGGTCTCAATCTCCTGATTTCATGATCCACCCACCTAG